CCCTCACAGTGTCCTGCTTGTGACTGACCTCCAATTAGACTACATGTCACAGGACTATGAGCCCAGCTGTGCAGGAACTTTCCAGTCCACCTCACTGCCTCCTCATTCTGACCAGACTTGATCAGCTTCTCTATCAGGACCTTATGGGAGACATGAAAAGCCTTTCTGAAGACAAGGCAGACAGCATCCCCTGCTCTCCCCTCATTTACCAAGGCAGTCTTTTCATTGGAGAAGGTTATCCAGTAGTTAAGTCTCAACAAATACTTGATGAATCCATGCCGATCACTCCTGATCACTTTGTTATTCCCCCATGTGCTAGGAAATGTTTTTCAGGATTAGCTGCTCCATCACCTTCCCACAATCTGAGGAAAGGCTGTCTGGCCTCTCGTTCCCTGCCTCCGTCTTGCCTTTGTGCAAGATAGGAGTCACATTTGCCTTCCTCAGTTGTGCTCTGGGCCTCTTTCTAAGGCTGTGCTCTGGGTTTCTGGGTATTGCATGGAGTCTGGCACATGGAGAGCCATGGTGCTATGCAACTGTACACCCCATAAAGATTTAGCCAGCTCATAAAGAGGACGGACGAAAGGGAAGTCCTAGCAGGTATGGCCATGGATCGACAGCAAAGAGCTAAAGGCAGGACCTATCCAACCCCTCTAAGATTCATTGCTCTCTGCTCCATTTAGATCTGAGGTGGAGATGTGCAATGTGCCAATACACGCATGTCCTGGGAATACGGTTTCACTATTCAAAGTTTTGGGAAGGAATGTGTGCAAATTTGCACACATTTTCCCATGTTTGGATGCATGTGCATGTTCAAATTTGGATGAGAATTCATAGACAAGCCTAAAAATGCTGAAAATTAGTGCATTTCTTTAGAAGATGGTTTCCATATTTGAAGCAATGGTAGAAAAAATATTGATAAATTTTAATCAGGTCCAGGCCCGTAACCAGCTTGCTATGTGGGTATATTATTTGGAGGTCTGTTGTGCCGCAGAAACTTCAAATCCATTGGAACCATCTGGTCACCTCTGACTCTGGAGCAGCAGTAACAGGGCTGGGGACAGGGTCTGTGAGGTGACCTCTTCCTGAAGCAGTTGCTGTGTCAGCCCTTGCCTCCTGGCTAACATCTGTGCTTTTCAGCTCACACCTGCCAGCATCCCTGATAAGGCACCTGCTTGGCACACTGATTATGAGATGCCCTCTGTCTGAGAGCCTGACAGGCCCCATGCAGGAAGAGGCCTTGGGTGTGGGTTTTTACATCCCTTCTGCCTGAGCACATGGTGGGACGGCAATGGGCACACAACTTGGTTACGTCTACCTGAGAAACTGGAAGGGCAGCAGCAGGTATATGGTTTGGAAGATCATGGTGAGGTTCTTCTGTCTGGTCAGGCCATAGGTCTCCAGAAGGCTGACATCTCTGGACATCTGCTAAAAAAGTGGTTTGTTGACGATAAAGCTTTCTCTGGTGCTGAGAAACAGCAGAATAGTGTCAAAACTGCTACGAAGTGCTGCTTGGAAGGTGAAAAGTGGGCATGAGGAGGAGGAAATGTAACTGAAAGGGTAGTGCTGTGGTTCTATAGGTCACCCCTACAGAGTCAGTGGTCAACCCATGCCATTGTGTTTCAAAGATCTGCCATGGTGGGTGGGCAGACAGCAGTGAAAGTACAGAAATGCCAGGGTGAGAGCAATGTGGAGAAGCAAGGCGGGTGCCAGCAGGGAAAAGAAGGGATAGGACAGTGCAGGGCAGCAACCCAGTGGGGAGGCCAGCAGGTGTCATAGCGTTGCCCTTAAAACAGCATGACATACCCCACATCCCACTGCCCCAGGAAGAGCCCTGAGCCATGGGTGAGGGACAGGACCTCCCTGCCCAGGGGCTGGGGGCCAGGACTTGGCCTTTCTGCTTCACCAAACAAACCAAGGCCTTTACTCAGCATCAGAGTCTCCTGCCCAGTGCCTTTGCCTACCTGCAATCATGGCCTCCAATTGTCTGCTCTAACAAGTCCATGGGGAGGCTTTGTCAGTAATGACCCTCACTGGGGCCCATTAATACTCCTAGACACTTCAAAGTTTCCTTCTGACTTTGACTTCTCCTGCAGTTACATCATTCTCCTCCCACTACCTGAGGTTTATGGACTCAGCACCAAATGCAGCATGGGGCTCATTACAATTCAGCCATTTTCATCCAGTCTTCCAGACTTGTACAGTTAATTAGTGAGGTTTCAAGAATGCAGTTTAAAGAGAAATTATTCATTGACCAGATTTCTAAGAGCATTTTCCTTATTTAAGATTATTTTCCATTAGTTTAGAGTTTTCAGAAGAACGGATAGCATCATTCTCTAGTTGTCATAGATCCAAAGTGTCTCCTAAGGAGGTCTGTATGGGTGGAAAAGCAGTCCCTTGAAGTCCTAGACTGTATGGACAACCTTGCTGCTCACCTCCCCGTCCCCACAACTTCTCTCATCAACCACCTGAGACTTGCATCAGTTTTCCTTACACCAGACTTCTCCACTGTATTCTGCAGGTTGTTGTTACAGCTCCTTTGCACCCATTCCCACCTCTGTTCCTCATTCAACTGTCTGCACACTGGCACAGTTTTTGTTGTTGTTTTTGTTGTTAACATCTAACACCTACCAAGCTAACAAACAAACCTCACGGTCCTCAACAGTGAGCCAAATCCAAATCCAAGTTGCCTCCAATGAGGTGCACCTTCGAAGGGTTAGCTATACAAGAAAAGATTGACATAGGTAAGAAATGACAAATAGAAGTGCAATTACACAGTTGGGCCTCACAAGGACAGAGTAGAGGGGGACAATCACCTCCCTCCACCTGCTGGCTGCTCATCTCTTGATACAGCCCAGGACACAGTTGGACTTCTGGCCCACAAGCACACACTGCCGACTCACATCAAGCTTTTCATCTAACAGAACCCCCAAGTCCTTCTCTGCAGGGCTACTCTCAATGAGTTCTTCTCCCAGCCTGTACTCGTGCCCAGGATTGCCTCGGCCCAGGTGCAGCACCTTGCACTTAGATGTGTTGAATCTCATTAGGTTCACATGGGCCCACTTCTCAAGTGTGTCCAAGTCCCTTTGGATGTCATCCCTTCCTTCTGTCATATCAACAGCACCACTCAGTTTGGTGTCATCTGCAAATTTGCTGAGGGTGCACTCAGTCCTACTGTCTATGTCATAGATAAAGATACTGAACAGTACTGGTCCCAGGACAGACCCCTGAGGACACCACTCATCACCAGCCTGCACTCGGACACAGAGCCATTGACCACCATTCTCTGGGTGTGAGTTTAAGCCAATTCCTTATCCACTGAATGGTGCACCCATCAAATCCATACCTCTCCGATTTGGAGAGCAGGATGTCATGTGCGATCACGTCAAAGGCCTTGCAGAAGTCCAGGAAGATGACATCGATCGATCTTCCTTTTTCAACTGATGCAATCACTCCATAGTAGAAAGCCACCAGATTGGTCAGGCACGATTTACCCTTGATGAAAACGTGCTGGCTCTCTCGGATCACCTCTTTGTCTTGCATGTACCTTGACATTGCTTCAAGGAGGATCTTTTCCATGGCATGTCACTCTCTCCTGCATGTTAGAGGAAACCAGAGTGAAAATGTTTCATGAAATGCTTCAGATGGCTAAAGTTGTTCCAATCATAACTGTATTATTTGCCTTTCCTGGTGGTGGGTATGTTCACATCTTTCTGTGTGCATAGAAATATATATTTGTATAGCTACAGCTGTAACTGCAGATATATGTGCAAGTAAATGGAAAAGTATATACACAGTTACTGCATACATATAGATAACTGGGAGACTCACAGGCAAGTGGATGGGATTCTAGAATTTTATATCGCCCAAACTATCAGGAAACCAACCCAGAAGTGCTGGGAGCTGGGGAGAGGGGACACATGGAGGAAAGTCCCAGTGACACAGCTGGGAGGTGGGTTGTGCTGCCATTCCTACTTGCAGTGACCTGACTGCCTGGTGGCAGGCAGGCAGACACAGCGATGTCATCGAGTGCATCACAAACCCCACGGGACACAGGGGGCAGCTCTGACAGGGGACAGCTCTGTCCACCATGGCTGGGCTGCTGCTGCTGAGGTCACCTCCTCACAACACTGTGATGGGCCAGGAGCAGGCAGGCCTCAGGAGGCCATCAAGAGCAGCAGCTGTGGAAGCTGCAGGCAGATGCCTGGGCCCTGGGGAGGGCTGCCCTGCAGTGATGCCAGCTGGACATGGGGTGGGAGCCTGTGGGAAAAGGCATGGGAAAATGCTGGATATGACAGAGCACAGTGTGAGAAGGGAGAGAGTACAGGCAGGGCTGTGAGGGACAGCAACATCTCACGTGCCCTTGGTGGGCATAGATATGAGCAATGGCCAAACACCCATTCCAGCCTTTCCCAGCTTCCCCCCAATTCTCCCAGCTCCCTGCTCTCTGCCCACATCCCTGCCCTCTGCCCAGCCCAGCACAGCAGCCCAGGCTGGGGTGACCCCAAGACAGTGCCCTCCGCAGGTTGCTGCAGGGCTCTGGGCACTGCCACCACAGCCACAGCCCCTCTGAAGGCCACAGCAGCTCCTGGGGGCACAGAGGGCTCAGTGCCACAGAGGGGAGCACCCGAGGCAGAAGCATACAGAGGTCAGTGTCCCCTGCTGTGTCCCCTGCTCTCTTCAGCAGCAGATCCTCAGAGGCCTGCAGCCCCTCCGTGCCATCCCTGGGGTTTCTCAGGCATCTTCTGCTGCGCCAGGGCCAGGGCAGCCAGGCCTGAGCTGCTGCAGCCAGAAAGGGTTTTCTGGTTCCATTACTTCCTGATCAATTGAGAGTGGGTCTCAGACAAAGAAGTTGTGGCTTCATCTATTTTGTTTAAATACACAGAGAGTCTGGCTCCTTGTTTATGCAAAGCCTCAGGGTCACAAAAGATATATTGGTACAAGGGGATGAAGAACAGCATTTCTTTGTGGAAAACAGTATCACAAGGGGAAATGAAAAACAAAAGAAATTAAATCCATCCAGAAGTTAAGACAGCTTGCTCTATCATTACATAGACTCTAATTCATGTGAGGAAGAAGAAAATAAGCAGTTTCTAGCTGTGGAGAGGTCCAGTCAGTTTCCACAGCACATCCTGAAAACCCTCCATGACATCACTGTCCTAATGGCATTCATGAGCTCCTGGTTCCTCATGCTGTAGATGAGGGGGTTCACAGCTGGAGGAACCACTGAGTACAGGACAGTCATCACCAGGTTCAGGGATGTCAAGGAGAAGGAGGGGGGCTTCAGATAGGCAAACGTGCCTGTGCTGAGAAACAGGAAGACTATGACCAGGTGAGGGAGGCACGTGGAAAAGGTTTTGTGCTTTCCCTGCTCAGAGGGGATCCTCAGCACAGCCCTGAAAATCTGCACATAGGAAAAAAGAATGAAAACAAAACACCCCAGAAAGAGAAAACCACTAAATGTGAGAAGCCCAATTTCCCTGAGGTAGGAGTCTGAGCAGGAGAGCTTGAGGATGGAGGGGATTTCACAGAAGAACTGGTCCACAGCATTGCCTTGGCAGAGAGAAAGAGAAAATGTATTGGTAGTGTGCAGCAGAGCATAGAGAAAGCCACTGCCCCAGGCAGCTGCTGCCATCTGGGCACAAGCGCTGCTACCCAGGAGGGTCCTGTAGTGCAGGGGCTTGCAGATGGCAACGTAGCGGTCATAGGCCATGATGGTGAGAAGGGAATACTCTGCTGAAAACAAGAAGACAATGAGGAAGACCTGGGCAGCACATCCTTGATAGGAGATGGCCCTTGTGTCCCACAGAGAATTGGCCATGGCTTTGGGGACAGTGGTAGAGATGCAGCCCAGGTCGAGGAGGGCAAGGTTGAGGAGGAAGAAATACATGGGGGTGTGGAGGTGGTGGTCGCAGGCTACGGCGGTGAGGATGAGGCCGTTGCCCAGGAGGGCAGCCAGGTAGATGCTCAGGAAGAGTGCAAAATGCAGGAGCTGCAGCTCCCGCATGTCTGTGAATGCCAGGAGGAGGAACTCGGTGATGGAGCTGTTGTTGGGCATTTGCTAGTTTTAGGCAGGAGGTCCTCACCACAGAGGAAAAAGGCAGTAAGGAAGTACAACAGAATTATCTGATGAGAACTAATTCAATTTTGGAGCATTAATCATATATTTTGCAGGTCCCTTTCTTGAGTTGTGACTCATGCTGCCTGAGGGTGTCGCTGGGAGTAGGATATTCTACTGCAGGCAATGTTGTAGTCAGTCCACACCTATAATAATAAGGAAAGGGAAACGTGATAATCACAAATAAAATTCACTCCTCATATCAGATTATTATCCACATTGCCTTTCCAAATTCACCCAACTGCAGAGCAGGGCTCTCTGGATTTCTTTTCTGTATACTGTCATTCCTGCTGCACTCCAAGTGAAACCTTGTGGCTCCACAGAGACAAATGAACTGTGCCTTTAGTGCAGAGTGTTCCTTCAGAGGGGACAGCCAGTCTGTCCATAAAGGCTGCTCTCTTCCGCTGGCATTTCTATGAGCTGTGGAATAATTACACTCACATGTTCATCTGAAAAGGAGCAGGGCACTGCTGAATCCATGCTCAAATGCACATCTCCAGCCCCTTCAGCCTGTCCCCATATTCCCCTTCCCCCAAGCACGCCAAGGGCTCACTCCATGTGCATGTGAAACCCCTATCCTCAGCCAGCCTGGAAACAAGAACAGCAGCAGCACGGCCAGGTGGAGAAGCCAGAAGGAATGGCACCATGCTGCTGCCAGGGGAGGCAAGGCCAGGGAGGGACAGATGGACACTCAGCAGATCGTCCTGTGCTGCAGCTCTGCCTGCAGAGGAGACTGCTCATGCTCGTTGCAAATACCGTGTGTTCTGTTCTGGCATGAAGACACAAAGACAGGGCACTGGGCATCAGAGGGTTTGCAGCTCCCAAAGATCAGCTGGAATAAAACCTGAGAGGACCACAAAGATGGTGTTGGTGCCATCTGTGGGCTGAGGTGTGGAAAGGGACTTTATGAAGTTCATTGCTGACACATTGATCTCTCAGTGCAATGCTCTAGGAGTCTCCGTCTCCTGTACAATCCTGACAACCCATTACCATAAAACATGCCTCCACTCCACTGCAGGAATCTGAAAGCACAGGTTGCAGAAAAATTCTTACCCTTTGGCCAGACCCTGCCTTTGTCTCCCTCTTGAAAAATCCAAACATAAATGCCCCTCTCTACAGCATCTACAGCATCAGGAGAAACAGAAAGAGCCATCCTGAGAGAAGCTATCAGCCATCAGATGTGCCAGCTGTAGAAGATCCCTCTGGAAACCCCATCTGCATTTCCCTGTTGCCAGAGACTCACGGTGTCAAGAGCCTGCAGATCTGTCCTGCCACACACTGCCCTCTGTTGTTGCATTCCTTGCTGCCTCCAAGCCCTCTCTCCTTCTCTCCCCGTGCCACCTGTGGTCAGAGCCTGCGCTGTGCAGAGGAGCTGCTCCTGGGCAGAGCTGTCTCTTTGCCACACTGCCCGCTTGCCAGGAGCTCCCCTTGGGCCCAGGAGCCTGGCCCAGCTCAGCAGCACAGCACCTGACCATGGCATCACTTGCTCTGTGCCATTGGGCTCCCTCGAGGTGTCCTCAAGGCCTCAGGGCTGACAGCTCCTGAAGTCATCGGGGTCTCTCCTGGGGTGTGGTGTTTTAAGCAGACTGAAGTCATCAGCGACTGCTCCTCTCTGAACATGGGAAAGACTGATGTTAGAAGAGTGATTTGTGCTATTGATGTGCAGTTGTCAAATATGATGTTGTGGTTTAACCCATCCGGCAGCTCAGCACCACACAGCTGTTAGTTCACTGCCCCTGCAGCTCCACAACTGTTAAGCTCATGGGTTGAGATGAAGACAGTTTAAAAGGACAGATAAGGTAGAGTTTAATAATAATAATAATAATAACAACAACAACAACAACAACAACAACAACAACAACAATAATAATTGTGTACAAAGCAAGTGATACACAATACAATTGCTCACCACCCAATGACCGATGCCCAGCCTGTCCTCGATCAGCGGTCCCCCCAGCCCTGGCCAGCCTGCATGGCAATCAAGTGTTGCGGTCCTTTGACATTTGTTTTAGGGTAAAAACAGCTTTCAGAAGGATTTGGATTATTTCTTTTCCTTTCTCAAATATTTCTTCTGCTCTGTTGCCCCACATGATGATGTCACCAAGGTATTGCAGGTATTCAGGAGCTTCCCCCATTGCAGGGCAGTCTGGGTCAGTCCATGGAAAATGGTAGGGCCAATCGCTTTGTCAATCACCCCTTCCCTAGAGGGGGATCCCAGCTGCTTGGCTTCTCTGCCCTCTAATTCCAGGCTATTGGCCCTGTTGTCCCAGCACTGGAGCAGCCAAGTAACAATGTGCTCACCTAAACGATGACTGAATCTTTTTCACAAATCCCATAGCTCGCCCTGGTATAGGGGTCTTGTGGTTAATGATGCTGCTCTGATCTCTTCCTCTTTGCCCTTCTTCATCCTTGATGGCCCAACTTTGTTGAAGCATTCCTTGTGTTCTTCCTCCTTTCTTGTCTGCATAGGAGTTTCTTTCCTTTCTAAGAAAAAGAAAATAAATGCTTTTTACATCCATTGTTTTCAGGTCACCGGATGCAGGGAGTGTCTGAGCCTGTTCCTGCCATCGGCGGGAGGCAGAGAAACTGCGTGCATGAGGTGCGAGCAGGTGGATGACCTGGTCTGCATGGTGGCGGAGCTCAAGGAGGAGGTGGAGTGGTTGAGGGATATCAGGGAGTGTGAGCAAGAGATAGACTTGTGGAGTAACTCCCTGCAGGGCCTCAAGGAGAGGTACCGAGTTGAGACACCCCAAATGGGGATGGACCCCCTGCCCTGTCGCCGTCGGGCAGAGGGAGGGGATCTGGGAGTTGAGGAGGAATGGAAACAGGTCCTTGCTTGACATCGCAGGCAATGCCCTCCCCTTCTGGCCCCACCTTCCCAGGTGCCCTTACACAACAGGTTTGAGGCCCTGGAGATTGAGAGATCAGTAGCTGAGGAAGAGGTAGCAAGTGTTCCCAGGAGGATGTCTAGGGAGAGGAGGTCGACTCCATGCCTCAGGACTGCCTCCACCAAGAAAGACAGGAGGGTTGTTGTTGTGGGAGACTCTATTCTTAGGGAAACAGAGGGCCCTATTTGTCGGCCTGACCCTACCCGTAGGGAAGTCTGTTGCCTCCCTGGGGCCAGGGTCAGGGACGTTGCCAGGAAGCTTACCAACCTGGTACGCCCCTCTGATTATTATCCTCTTTTGATAGTCCAGGCAAGTAGTGACAACATTGAAGAGAAAAGCCTGAAGGCTATCAAAAGAGACTTTAGGGGGCTGGGACAGTTAGTTGGTGGAGCGGGGGTACAGGTGGTGTTTTCATCCATCCCTATGGTGACAGGGAGGGGTACAGAGAGGACACAGAAAGCCCACCTGTTAAACACGTGGCTCCGGGGCTGGTGCCAACACAGAAATTTTGTGTTTTTTTGACAATGGGGTGCTTTACTTGGCACCCGGCCTGATGGCCGCAGACAGGTCCCTATCTTTTAGGGGAAAAAGGATCCTGGGCCAGGAGCTGGCAGAGCTCATTGAGAGGGCTTTAAACTAGGTAAGAAGGGGGATGGAGCTGAAGCAAGAATTGTTGAGGCTGTGCCAGGGGGAACAATGGCAAGGCCGGAGGATAAGGTCATGGCCCAGCTGAAGTGCATCTACACCAATGCACGCAGCATGGGTAACAAAGAGGAGGAGCTGGAAGCCATCGTGCAGCAGGCAGGCTATGACTTGGTTGCCGTCACGGAGACATGGTGGGACCAGTCTCATGACTGGAGTGCTGCAATGCCTGGCTATAAGCTCTTCAGACGGGACAGGCAGCACAGAAGGGGTGGTGGTGTGGCTCTCTATATTAGAGAGTCTTTTGATGTTGTAGAACTTGAGGCTAGAAATGACAAGGTCAAGTCCCTTTGGGTTAGGATCGGCAGGGACAACAAAGCTAGTGTCCTGATCGGGGTCTGCTATAGACCGCCAAACCAGGATGAGGAGACGGATGAGGAGTTCTACAGGCAACTGACAGAAGTTGCAAAATCTTCAGCGCTTGTACTCGTGGGGGACTTCAACTTCCCTGACATATCCTGAAAGCACAACACAGCCCAGAGAAAGCAGTCTAGGAGGTTTCTGGAGAGCGTGGAAGATAGCTTCCTGACACAGCTGGTTAGTGAACCTACCAGGGGTGGCGCCCCGCTAGACCTTCTCTTCACAAACAGAGAAGGACTGGATGTGATTATCGGGAGCTGTCTTGGGCAGAGTGACCATGAAATGGTGGAGTTCTCTATTCTTGGCGAGGCCAGGAAGGGGACCAGTAAAACAGCTGCATTGGACTTTCGGAGGGCTGACTTTGAGCTGCTCAGGACACTGGTTGGTAGAGTCCCTTGGGAGGCGGTTCTGAAGGGCAGAGGGGTCCAGGAAGGCTGGGTGCTCTTCAAGAGGGAAATCTTAATGGCGCAGGAATGGTCTGTCCCCACGTGCCCAAAGACGAGCTGGCGGGGAAGAAGACTGGCCTGGCTCAACAGAGAGTTGTGGCTTGATCTTAGGAGAAAAAAGAGGGTTTATATTTTTGGAAAAGTGGGCAGACCACTAGGGAGGATTATAAGGATGTTGCGAGGCTGTGCAGGGACAAAATTAGGAAGGCCAAAGCTCATCTGGAGCTCAATATGGCTGCTGCCATTAAAGATAACAAAAAATGTTTTTATAAATACATCAACACAAAAAGGAGGACTAAGGAGAATCTCCATCCTTTACTGGATGCGGGGGGAAACTTAGTTACAAGAGATGAGGAAAAGGTGGACATGCTTAATGCCTTCTTTGCCTCAGTCTTTAGCGGCAATACCGGTTGTTCTCTGGATACCCAGTACCCTGAGCTGGTGGAAGGAGATGGGGAGCAGGATGTGGCCCTCACTATCCGCGAAGAACTGTTTGGCGACCTGCTACGGCACTTGGATGTGCACAAGTCGATGGGGCCGGATG